AATCTGCCGGCTCCCAGCCCATGTGCAGGGGCTGAGGCTGCTGCTGAGTCCCAGCTTCCAGCCCCCACAGAGTAGCCCTTGTCCATGGCAGGCTGGGCTCCCTGCAGTCAGAAGCTGCTCCGGACGCCAGCGTGGCCTCTGCCTGTCATCTGCCATGGATAGAGGCTGGGCCCGCTTAACCAGAACTAGTAAGTCTCTCCCACTATCGGCAATGCTAATGAGTTAACCAGTTAACCTTTCACATCCGTATGCCCCCCCCCTCGACACACCTTGTTTTAACAGTATTTTTTTTTCAAATTTAGCAAGAAATATCTGCCTTTTACATTGCAACCAACCACAAGCAGAATTGCTCCAAATGATGTACTCTGCATAGGTAGTAACAGTATTGCAATACATTTGTCTAACTATCTCCTGCTCCTTTTTAGGTTGACTTGTTCAGAAGGCCTCCAGGCTTTACTCCTTTCCGATCCCTAGCTGTGGAAGCAATTGCTCAAAATGCACCCCACAAAGAAACTGAAGAAGGACCTAAAGACGGACAAGCTCCTGGAAAAGGGCCAGGAAAAGAGAGCAGGTGTGACCCAGCATATGAACAGGGGGACGGACATGATACTCAGTGTGAGCCAGGTCACAGGCATGGACATGGACATACGCACAGACATGACACTGTGTGTGGTCAAGAACACGAACAAAGACGTGGACAAGGACATGAGGGTGAACAAGGGCGTGGCCATGGTCATGGTCATGGTCATGGCCATGATCGGAGGTGTAGACCAAAACATGAACATGGGGATAAACCTGGACACGGGCACGGAAAACATAAAGATAAGCAAAAAAAGATAAAGAATAAACATTCAAAAGATGAGTCTTCTGAAGAATTCCATGATGAGGTCACTGACCAAAAGGAAACGCACCTAGCAGAGGGTACACAATTTCATAAGCCTGATCAGGTAGAGCTAGATGTGCTACCTACTGCTCAGCAGCCCACAACAGATCTAACAGATGATTTTACTGGTATCTCTGATTTCT